CACATGTACTAAAAGGTAAGAGAGAAATTTTCATCAACAAAACAAGGATAAATTTTAGATAGGCACAATCTGACATTTCTACAATCATCGACAAAATAAGGATAAATTTTACTAACATGCATTCAAGCTAAAGCATTAGTAGGTTGTCTCAATTTACCATCATCTACTCGATCTTCCTTGTACCACCTCATACTCTTTGCAGTGTCTTTGTTCATATGCAATCATTTTAATGTAGGGACTAACTGAAAATGATGAAGCACCTTTGTTGGAATCTTCTTCTGCATCCCCTCTGACTCCATTTTTCCTCCGTGTTGAAGAGTTTGTGCTTTGTTTTCACTGAGAAACTCCACATGTCAGACACTCCTGAAGGTCTTTATTGACTTTGTGGTAGATGATACAATCATTCAGACATGGATCAATCCTATTATGGTCATGACCCAGAGCTGAAACAATCTTCTCAACCTGATAACTTGTTTGGGGTATGCTAACCTCTCTTTCAGGAATTATCGTCCGAAGCAAATCAAGAAACATTTCAAATAATTATCAGCTATTCCGCTAAGTGCCTTAATATGTACGAGTTTTAACATAAATAATAATCTAGAGTACTCGGTACAACCATTATATATGTCCTTATCACTATCTTCTAGTAGCTTCATTATTCGCTTTATGTTTGCAGAAGCATGCATATTTTTAAAATTTTCTCTTTGATGTCTATTTAGAGTTGCTAATTGATGAGTGTAGATTGTCTAAAAGTTACTGCAAATAGCTAATCTTCATAAAATATAAATAATGGAGGTCATGATCTAACGACGTTCATATCAATTAATGAGAGTTATAATTTGTCGATTCTCACAACAACTGATGATGGAAGTTACAATCTGACAACTTTCGCAACAACAAACGAGAGTTATAAACTGACAATTCTCACATCTCAAAGAGACAAAGGCTAGGATTACATGATGACAACCCTTGCAACACTCTAATAGAAGAGATTAAGAGTTGATGATTTCTTAAAAGCAAAATGCGAAGCTTATCAATGCATTCCAAGCTCAAAACGCGAAGTTCATCAGCGCGTTCCAATCACAAAACGCAGAGCTCATCACCGCATTCCAAGCTCAAAATGTAGGGTTCATCACCACGTTCCTAGTTCAAAACGCGGAGCTCACTGTCGCGTTTTTAGTTCTAAACGCGAGGGTCATTTTCTGAACATGAATCTCACGTTTGACTCATTCGAACACGTTCTAAACAGCTCCAAAACCATTTTTGCACGAAATGAGGGCACTAAACCCCCATTAAGGAGCGATTTAAGGCAATGATCCAGTTGTTTTCAATGAAGATGAATGGAATGATGGTGCTTCAATGTGGCAATCTTCTTTAATTGGACAGGTTCTTGGGTTAAATGTTAGTTTCAAGGCAATGGAGTTTTATGTGCACAATGTCTGGAAACATTCCCCAGAAATCTACCTTCTTAAGACATGATTATTCTTGTTCAAATTTAAATGTAAAGAAGAAATGAATGATATACTAAGCAAAGGTCCATGTTTCTTTGGATCTAGGCCTATTCTTTTGAAACCTTGGTCTATAAGTGAAGATATAAACAAGTCAGATGATTGCATTTATCCTTTATGGATACAACTTCCAGCATTGAGGTTAAATCTCTGGAATTCAAAAAGTATTAGCAAGATTGCCAGCATCATTAAAAAGCCAATTACAACTGATAAGCTAACCACAAATAAACAGAGGCTTGCTTATGCTAGAGTTTTGGTAGAGGTCAAACTGCCTTCTACCCTTCTAGTCATTCATGGGCAAAATGGAAAAACTTATAATCAGAAAGTTCAGTATGAATACAAGCCTAGATGGTGTGAGTCATGTAGATGTGTTGGACATGACACAGATTTTTGCAAGAAGCAACCAAGAGTCCAAAAATGGGTTCCTAAACAGCAAATAGTTCCTGGAAATGTTGCATTTAGTAACATTCATAATGCTACAAAAGCTTCAAATTCCTAAACAGCAAATAGTTCCTGGAAATGTTGCATTTAGTAACATTCATAATGCTACAAAAGCTTCAAATGCTGAGAATATAAAGGATACTTGGAACTGTTGCATTTAGTAACATTCATAATGCTACAAAAGCTTCAAATGCTGAGAATATAAAGGATACTTGGAACCAATATTCAATTAGGAGGAATGACAAAAGTAAGGAGCCTGTGCATGTTGTGCATGCCCAACAAGAAAAATACATAAACAAAGGGAAATCTGCTGAAAATGTGCATGTTGTAAATGCACAACAATATGAATTTGATTCTGATGCTGGGGGTCATGTTCATGATCATGAAAGACAAATGCAAAACTATGTGAATAATGGTCAGATATTTTCTGGTTTAAAGACTCCAGTTGGATCTTCCAGAAGTGATGGGTCTGTGCAAGATGTGCAAGGCCTAAATGTAATTTCCAGGAGTACTGTGTTTGTGCATGATGTGCACGTCCAAAATGCAGGTTTAGCTGAAAATCACTGGATTCAAATTCATAATAAAAATATGAGTAAATCTGGTGCTCATGTCAACAAATTTTCACATCTGGATAAAGTGAATATTGATCCCTCTACAATAGATAGGGGGAGGTTGAATTAAAGATGAATCTTTCTTTTTAGAATGTAAGGGGGCTCAACAAGTCCTCTAAACAACATTTGGTAAAGATTTTTATATCTCAGTATCACTTACCCTTCATAGCACTTCTGGAAACTAAAACTAGTGTAGGAAAATTGCCTACTATTGCAAAGAAAATAGCTAGCAGATGGAGTTTTCTTTCAAATGCTGGATATGATAGGAAAATCAGAATTTTGATTATGTGGGATCCAAATATTCTGGACATCAACATCATTGGAATATCTGCTCAACAAATTTCATGCACAGTCAAATCTTTGGATGGATGTTTTGTTAGTGTCATATCTACAGTCTATGGATATAACCATATGATAGCAAGGAAGGACTTATAGGCACAACTGAAGTTTATTCAAAATTCTATTAGAAATTCACCTTGGCTCTTGAGTAGTGATTTTAACTCAGTTATTTCAAATGATGAGAAGCTGGGAGGTTCGTTGATCATGGAGGCTAATTTTGCTGACTTCAGGGATTTCATTCATGATTGTTTGCTCAATCATCTAATAACAATTGGTTGCTTTTATACTTGGCACAATAAGCAAGACTCAAATTCAAGGATTTGGTGTAGGTTGGACAGAACCTTGGCAAATGATTCTTGGATGCATGTGTACAATTCAAGTCAGGTTGAATTCCTTCTCCCAAAATTTTCAGATCACTCTCCAGCTTTAGTTACTATTTTTGAAGACAAAATGCATGGTAAAAGGCCTTTTAAATTTTTCAATATGTGGACAAAACATGATAGTTTTTTTTACCAGCAGTGGCAAGCATATGGCAAACTGACATTCCAGGTTTTCATATGTACTCGGTTTGTACAAAATTAAAAAATCTGAGAGAAGTTCTTAAGGATATGAACAAGAAACATTTCCACAACATCAGTGAATAGGTCCTAAGAGCTAGATATGCTTTAGAAGATGTTCAAAAGAATCTCTAGCTTGATCATCTTAGTCATTCTCTCATCAACAAAGAAAGGGAATGCTTAGCTGTATATAATAAGTTGCTTGAATGTGAAATATCCTTTCTTCAATAGAAAGCTAGAATTGCCTGGAGCTTAAAAGGTGACAGATGCATAGATTTTTTCCATTCTATCATAAAAATCCATAGACATCATAACAAAGTGAGAGTCCTATACAATGAGAATGGAAACAAAATTACAGAAAATGAGGAAATTGCAAAGGAATTTGTTACATATTATAAGAACCATATGGGGAAGGAAACTACTACAAGTGTTCCTCATATAAACATCATCTAATCTAGCCCGTGTCTATCTAGTACTCAAGCCAGTTCACTCTCCAAACCTGTAACCAAAGATGAAATCAGAGATGTTGTTTTTTCAATGTCAGATAATAAGGCACCTGGCCCTGATGGGTATGGTGTCTCTTTCTTCAAATATGCATGGCTAATAGTAGGGTACGAAGTTACAATAGCCATTGAAGAATTCTTTAACACTGATAAGCTGTTGGGTGTGGTAAATTCCACCTCAATTACATTAATCCCCAAGGTGATATGTCCTAAAACTCCTACTGATTTTAGACCCATTTCTTGCTGTAATTGCCTATATAAGTTTATTTCCAAAATCTTGGCAAATAGGATAAAATTAGTATTGGGTCATTTGGTGAATGAAACACAAAGTGCTTTTGTGAAGGGTAAAAAATTACAAGTAATATAATGTTAGCACATGAATTGGTCAAAAGATATAGTAGGAAGCATATATCCCCCAGAGTTATGTTAAATATAGACATCAAGAAAGCCTTTGACACTATCAGTTGGAGTTTTTTGCAAAATATGCTCAAGGGGGTGAAATTCCCAGATTTCATAATTGAT